TGAATTATGATATACCATGTATCTCCTTTCACTGAGTTAAACGCAAAGCGCTCTTTAGTGTTAGTGTTTAATTTGCTACTGATTGTGAGATTCTCTTTTAGATATTATTCGCTCATTGAACTGATGATAGGCAATCGCTCGTTAACACTCAAAGTAGGTGAATAAATAACTATGTTTAGAATTTGAATGAAGCTTTGAATTCAACTCAAACGACATCAGACTTACCAAGGCAGTGAAGTTGTGGTCTGCCTGCTCTCTCATGATCACGAATGTTCTGCGCTTGACGCATCCCCTTAACTTTATTTTTTGATCACAGAAACCGAACGGTCATTTTTTTTTCAGCTTAGCGAGCACCACAGCAGGAAAAAACCATTTTTGAGTGATACAAAAAGAACATTAATTCCATTTTATGAGCTTCTCGAATCAAGGATTGCTGAGTTGACTAGGGGCCTGAAGAAATGGAAAGATGAAACCTTAATGCGTTCAAGACGACCACTTTCAGGTGGCATCCAAACATAGATTTGAAGACCACAATCCAGAATGAACACATCACCAAGATTCAACTCTTTCCAGTTACACTCGACCTGTATTTAAAACATCAACGCTAATTGCAATGAAGTGTAAACTGCGCTTGTACTGAGTGATTCTCTCAACTTTAAGAGAAATTTGAACGATAGTGATGCGCACAAATGAATCATGATATGTTATGTATCCTCTTTCAATGACTTTCACGCAAAGCGCTCTTTGCTCAAGGTACACATTCAAGATTGGCTAGAACTGAATAGCTTGAGGTGACTGAATTGCTGATTTATTCTTCAAATTGATTGTTGCTTACCTCACCTTCCCAGCCCCACTCCCGATCAATCTTAGCCGATGATTCTCCAACTAGTATATGAGAATTTAACAGAGGTGTGTTATACGGAGCGATTCGCTTTCATTTGTAAACAAGCTCTATTCGTTATCACATGCTCACTGATATCAACAACGTAAACACATCCTCATAAACGTCTCGTCAAACAATGACAGCCAAACATCGCTCAGTTAAAGCGTCATTTCTTCGAGCTGTTAACACGTAGCATAACCTCGTTGAACAAGAAACTTCAGCAATTTATCCCACCTCTGTGCAACGCACATTCCTCTTTCCTTTACAGTGGAACAGACGTGGCTTCCAATTCTCATATTGATCTTTCACCGGTCTGAAACCAGATTCGGCACCTCCTTTCAGGTATCTGCAATGAATAAAAATGTTCGCTAGAAAATATCAAGCCATCTGATCATTTGTGTGTTCATGTGCTGTTTCGAATTCAAGAGAATCATGCTCGAATTCGATGGCAATTTGCAATGCAGCAAATCTTCAGTTTATTTTCGATGTGCGAAAGGATTGTAAACAACAATCGGATAGGATAACGTTGCTTGCGTTGCTTTCAAAACTCACTTGATACCATCTTTGAAGTACGACAGAAATAGCGAAGATTCATGATCTTGCACCTGAAATATGCGCACATTTCAGAGACAGTTACAGCAGCTGAATCGTTGAACTTCATCCATCGCGATTCTGTACCTGATTACATCTAACGAATTGCTATCATTTATGAACACAGTTGTTTTGAACGACAAAGGACGACTTCATTTCGGGGAAGGGATCAACTAACCACATTTACATATCCGAATTAAAAAAACACCATCACAACGACGTTCCAACTTAACATAACAGCTGCACGAAAGATTACTTTCTCGACCTCCAAATTACCCAAAATGGGTAATTTCACACCATATGAGAACCACTGGTCTATAGTGTAGGTGAGTGCATACCATCAGAGGGTGTTCAAGTTTTTTCAAAAATACTACACGTTAACGTTCACCTCACCTACTTTACACACACATATGCGTTGAACTCCGTCCGCATCTACTTTAATGCACAAAAAAACAAATCTTGTCTTACACCCCTTGGAATAACATTTCCCTTCCCCGCTGAGAAACCCTTGTAAACATGTAAAGAAAACAGTGATATTATTCTGGTGGAACTCAATACCTCACGATATTGCACCGGAACGCCTCCAAAACTGTCATCAATTTCTACGGTTTTGATGGCGGCCGTTCCTCGTTCATCCTGCAGAAGTGAAAGATTAGTGGAAATTTCACCATATTTTCTGTGTATTACAATCTCGCTATCGAGTAATCTAAAGAATTTTTCAGTGATGAACAGCTGCGGAATACTGTCAGACGTGCTTCATGAATCTCTTAACCGTCTTCCTTGCTTGTTACATCTTCAGGAGAAAAAACCCTTCTCAGAAGAGGATATTTAAAGTTCCATCATCTAAACGAAAAGTGCACAAGCCGCATATGTTTGCAAAATGTCAAAATATTTCTTGTTATTTTCGAATTTTAGAGATGTGATTCGCTGTAAAAAAAACTGAAACATATGTTGATGTAAAGTCATTTCGAAGTACACTCACAATGGATGTCTTCTTTCCCAGCCAGAAATGAACGTTCCATACACCACGATCTTTCGTCTGCAACAAATAAAATTTAATTCGTTTTCACATTTCGACAGCTGATAGTTTATTACGAATGCAAAAAATGCTGAATAGGTGCATTAATTTCTCGTGAGTAATTTCTGCGTTTCCTTTCATTCTAGTCACCTAATAGTGATTTACGAAGCCTCACATAAAAACTGTCAGCTACCATCAAACAGAAGAAATGGTATCAATAAAACTAAAGAAATTGCACGGTACGTTCTCTATTTTCTAACAGTGCCGGTTGATCTGAGATAAGCAGGTTGATGAAAGTTTTGAATTCCACAATATCCTGTCATATCTCAACGGCTTATTGCTCAACAAATTAATTGTTGATAGGACAGAGTAAAGCAATACAAGTACAAGCGTTGACAAGTATGTAAGAGTATGGATAAAATTGGATAAAATAGATAAAATTTGTGGACAATATATCGATCAAGAATGAGTGAATGTTATATGGCAAATGTTTCGAAAGATTACGAATCCAACTGATTCTCATCAATTAAAATTCGTAAAAGAAACGAACATAGAGAACGATGTAGGAGTCACCCTCGTAAAAGTTTCCATGTTGTTCCACTGGGATTTCTTCGAGTTCGAATTTCTGAAAGAATTTCGTCGGATGATTATGTTTTAACTGTTTCACAACGTTCAAGTCTTTGAGAGATATCCATCGAATGAATCCCCTCGGTTTTAAAGTATTCTAAAACTAAGCAGGCAGAAGAAACGATCTGTTTGAATGTCATATCAAATGACTTTGATTTGAGCCTCATCAGTGATTCGTCACATGTGAAAGAGATTTCCCAATAAATACGTTTAAGTTACGATCATT